GGGTAGTAGTGACCAGGTTAACAGCTCAATGGGTAGTTAGTGACCAAGTTAATAACTAGGTGTGGTTAGTGACTGGGTTAACAGCTCAGTGGATAGTTAGTAACCTGTATCGAGTAACAAGAAAACTAGCCATTTTTTATTTATTTTTCTCTTGACGTCGAGAAGAATCTTGTGGCTTTACGGAGTGTGGGAAGCCTGAACCAGGTTGTTTGTTTATTTATCGGAGCTAAAGGTAATTGTTAATTAATTTGTATGATTGTTTTCGTTGCCTTTTATTGACTTCCAGGTGTAGAGAGAGAAAATATCGCCTTTGAATGATTTTTTTTTTTTTTTACGAAAATGCCGCAGAGTGGAAGCAACAGATCAGTTGGGCCTCAGTGGCTGGGGTGTTGATCAAGGGATTCTTCACCAGTCTAGTCCAGGGCCTGCAGCTCGGAGGGTACCTGAACCAGATAACCCTGTCTTCATTGTTGAAATACTCACAGCCTAGAGGAAAACACACACACACACACACACACACACACACACACACACACACACACACACACATTTGTTCCATACGTGACAGTAGACAGAGGAAGTGTTTTATAATGTATCGTGTGTGCGTTGTGTGGCCAGATATGTCATTGGTGTGTTTTTAAAGACCATTGGCGAATATCTCAGGATATATCTAACATTAGTAAGACGTGATAGCCGCCGTGTTTCAGTATATCTATAACCTGGTAATGAGTCAGCAAGATATATCACGAGAATTAATGTTTTAGTAAGAAATTTCAATAACAACTTGTAAGGAATTTTTATATAATAACTTTGTTCATGGTTAATGCTATGTTATTTATGGTTGACTGGTTCTCCGGGATAAGTAATAAGGCAGTCTGGATAACATTAACCACTGACTCAACAAACCCGGAGACTCGAGACAAAACAGTGCTAAATAATTCATCATTTCTAACTCAACATATTCTGGGAAGGGGGGGGAGGGGGTTATAGCTCCTCTGCTCCTGCATAATAAGAGTCATTACTGAAATCTCTTCATAACTTGCCATCACGTGGTTGTAAGCTGAAGTCGAACACATCATTTATCCCCGAACATTCTCAGTCCCGCCGATAGAGAGAGAGAGAGAGAGAGAGAGAGAGAGAGAGAGAGAGAGAGAGAGAGAGAGAGAGAGAGACGGATGTACTATATAATGACGGATGTACTGTATAATGACGGATGTACTGTATACCGGGTGTCGCTGAGGTGACCAGTTGATCATTATAAACACGAGTCACTTGCTAGATTAATCCTCTTGCTTTGTTTTGTCTTAGCGACCATTGTGTATGTGTGTGTGTATGATATATAACACTGGTCTACAAAAAATATTTTTTTTCTGGCATGAAACCTTTTAACTGTTTTTTACTAACTTTAAGGTGCTGAATCCAAATCTGATCTCAGATTTGCTCCATCACGTAACGTGCCAGAATTTACTGAGCTACCAGAGATTGAGGATATAGACCGGAATTCACCTGTTTCTACTGATGAAGATGAAGAGACTGATCTTTTCAAGCCATCTGGTGAAGATTGTGAAAAGCCAACGTTGTTTACTCAGTCAGAATTGAATGATCTGGTCAGAGATCTAAATTTGCCAAAACAGTCTGCTGAATTGTTAGCTTCCAGGCTTCAAGAGAAACGACTCTTAAAACCTGGCACGAGTGTCTCCTTTTATCGCAACAGAGAAGAGCAACTGCGGAAGTACTTTCATTCATATGACCAGCTTGTTTTTTGTAATGATGTAGAAGGACTTCTTCTCTCCATGGGACTACCAGCATATGATAGTAAGGATTGGAGACTTTTTATTGACAGTTCTAAAAGGAGCTTGAAATGTGTTCTTCTTCATAACGGAAACAAGTATGGTTCAATTCCAATCGGACATTCTGTACAAATTAAAGAAGAGTATGAAAACATTAAGACTGTTCTAGAGAGGTTGCAATACCATGCTCATGAATGGTTAATTTGTGTGGACTTGAAAATGGTAAACTTTCTATTGGGCCAGCAAGGAGGGTACACAAAATACCCCTGTTTTCTGTGCTACTGGGACAGCAGGGCTACAGCAGACCATTGGGTGAAAAAGAATTGGCCACCAAGACATAGTTTGACGCCTGGTGACAAGAATATCATTAACGATCCTCTGGTTGACAGGAAAAACATTGTCCTTCCTCCTCTGCACATAAAACTTGGTATCATGAAGCAATTCGTCAAGGCTCTTGATCATAGTGGAGAGTGTTTCAGATATATATGCTCAACCTTTCCAAGTCTTAGCGACGAGAAGAAAAAGGCAGGGATTTTTGATGGACCTCAAATAAGAACACTACTCAGAGATCCACACTTCCTTGCAACAATGACTGAGGCACAGGCAAGAACTTGGAATGCTTTCTCTAATGTGGTGCGGAACTTCTTAGGGAACAAGAAAGCGGACAACTATCAAGAAATTGTGGAAGAGCTGCTCTTGAGTTTACAAGCACTTGGATGCAGAATGAGTATCAAGGTTCACTACTTACACAGTCACTTGGACGAGTTTCCAGAAAATCTGGGAGAAGTGAGCGAGGAGCAAGGGGAGCGCTTTCATCAAGACATTAAAGTAATGGAAGAACGTTACCAAGGTCGATGGGACTCGAACATGATGGCGGACTACTGCTGGAGTTTGATGAGAGACATTCCAGAAGCTGTACATAAGAGATCGGCCAAAAAGAGGAAGTTTATGTAACTGTAACTTGATCTTAATACTTGCACTATTTCTACCGTACATTAATTGTTTTTTTTCACCCTTCAATGTTACATTTAAATATTATATGTGCATTAACTTTCCAATTTGATATTAACAATTTTTGGTTATAGAAAAATACAAATTATAATGCTGAAAAAATTTATGTATACATGTTTAAACCGTCAATTTTGATCCAAAAGTTTACGTTTCCCAGCAAAAGTGCAATATGGTATATCTCAAAAACCTGATGTGATAGACAAAACCAAAGTCATATTTGGATTCTGCACCCCAAATTTACTTAAAATCCGTTTAAAAACCTTGTGCCAGAAAAATTGTGTTGACCGGTGTAATGAGTGTATCAACAAGCTCCGTGTGTGTATAGTATACTGAAGGTGTTAACTCTACGGTATGACCTCGTCTTAAAGCTGTAGTTATCGAGTAATTAGTTTTCCTCCTGTGGTCTGATTGAGAGGAAATAAACACCCCAGCAGCTCTCTCTCTCTCTCTCATGAAGTACACAAGTGCCAATGGGAGCTTAAATCCTCGTAAATTGGTTCAGTGTTAACATAGTGCGGTTTAATTACCATTGTTTGAGTGATTAAGTGAGTACCAATGGACGACACTTAGCATAGTAGGGATTACTGAGGGCGACAACCTCCACCTTGGCTGTTGATCATCATTCTTCTTTCTCACTTAATTTAATATATATATATAACACCAAAAAGCCATGTAAACAAACATCTTCAGTTATCTTGGTCTTTATTAACCCATTGTAGATAATACTACTTGAGTCGAATTTTCATGACGTTTTATTTCCGACTTTAATAACACTGCTGACTAGGGACATACAGTAGTCATAATGTGGTTTGTAATTATATAAGTCATCATTAATAACACTGCTGACTAGGGACATACAGTAGTCATAATGTGGTTTGTAATTATATAAGTCATCATTAATAACACTGCTGACTAGGGACATACAGTAGTCATAATGTGGTTTGTAATTATATAAGTGGTTACAGTGTCATAAATTATATAAGTCATCATTAATAACACACTGCTGAGTCATAATGTGGTTTGGGACATACAGTAGTCATAATGTGGTTTGTAATTATATAAGTCATCATTAATAACACTGCTGACTAGGGACATACAGTAGTCATAATGTTGTTTGTAGTTATATAAGTCATCATTAATAACACTGCTGACTAGGGACATACAGAAGTCATAATGTGGTTTGTAATTATATAAGTTATCATTAATAACACGTCACGATTTTTTTTTCAAAAAATTTAAGAATTCCAGCGAGGCGTGACACTCAGGGCCAACCAGTGCCGGCCAAGATATACTCCAGTACTCAACATTGTCAGAACACTGTACAAATAACCTTAACAACTAAAATACCTGCAATAACAATTTGGGAACATGTTTTGACACCTATACAAGAGTTGTATTTTACACCAACAGCTGTGTACCGGCGGGTTATGTGCACCCGACTCATTCTACAGACATGACTGCTCAGGTATGAACCTCTTATCAAACTTGTAAGTGAAGGTGATGTTTTATGTCAGGTAATTAAGAGTCAGGTATTAAACTACCTGTAGTGTGACTTGTTGCCTCAATCTTGTTTTGACCCAAAGGAAAAAAATGCTCTAACTTTAAACTTGTTGATCAAACCATCAATTTTTAGTAATTTTTCATTGTACAGTAAAACCTCTATTTAACGGACTATATAGAATGAAAGCCCATTATATCGAGGGTCCATTAGATGTGGAACCCCCAAATAACGGATTACATGGAGAGAGAAGTTCGTTATAGGGACTTTTTTCTGTGGGAGTTGTTGTGTTTTGTGGTGATGGTGATAGTGTCACCACCAGAGACATCCTCCATGATTGTCTTCACCCATGATGTATCAACCTATGGGAACCACTGAATCGCCCTTAATCCCTCGCCTCAAACTACTGAGATACCGCCCTGAAATATCTAAAAATTCGCCGCTAGAATATCCAGAAACTCTCAAACCCTACCCTGAGGCCTCCCCCTTGCAGCACCCCTGAGACCCAAAACTTCACCCCAAGGGCCCATCACCCTAACCCCGGGGCCCAAAACCTAACCCCGGGGCCCATCACCTCTCCCCGCCCACCACCTTAACCCTGGGGCCCACCAACTCACTCCAGGGGCCCACCACCCTAACCCTAGGGCTCACCACCTCGCTCCAGGGGCCCACCACCCTAACCGTGGGGCCCATCTCCTCACCTTCCTCAGCCGTCGTCGTTCCCGCATGGTGGCTGCTTTCCGTCTGTCCACAGTGACACTTTTCCTTTTGCACGCTTTGCATGCCCACAGCAAGCACGTGCGGGGGTGTGCGTGCCCTGTGACGTGTGTGTGTGGTGCCAGGACGTGTGGGACATGGGCATCGTCCTCGTCGAGGAAGTCATCTTCAGATTTGACGTCGTAGTTACTGTCGCTGTTGTGTCCGTGTCCGTGTCCGTGCTGCTGAGAGCTAGTGAGGAAAGGTTCCGCCAGGTCTGCTGATGACGGGCGTACCTCGTGCGAAGGCGAATAGTGGATGTGGGCGTGCCTGTGGGCGTGGCTGGGGTAACTCGGGGATACTGAGTGTGGACGAGCTTCTGGAGAAAGGCTGCCCGAGTAACGCGTTTCGTAGCGGCACGATCTTAGCTCAGGCATCATAGTGGGCAGCGCTTCCCTATGGTCCCCTCGCTCCTGCGGCCTCCTACTTCTCGCCGCTACCCGCTGTGCCCCGCGTCACTATTTCTGCTGCACCAGCTGCTACGCGCCTCTCAACTATAAGCTGCACACCTCTGCTGCACACCTCTGCTCGGTCTCTTATGCCGCCACCCTCATCGCAGTTGTTGGGACAGGACGAGCTGTTGTCGCGAGGAGCACCGCGTGGCACCGCTAGCTAAGTCATTCTCACCTGAGGCACTGGCACTGTCAGTGGCACTTATCACCTTGGTCCCGGGGCCGTCCATCCAGCCCACACTTGTCACTATTCACTCCCCGCGTACACTTGCTGTCCACCATTGTTCCATCATGGGTTAAGGTCACTCTTCACTAAAACAATATCACAGTATGCCACCACTGTTGAGGTCGGCGGCTGACGACAGTGGCGGAGTCACATGGCCTTACTAGCAGTGCCCCTGACGCACGAACAGGCTGGCACCATCACCTCCGTCACAACCAACACTGCGGGTCGCTTGACACTCCCATCGAGCCCCGGAGACGCCTCAGTGCCACGCTACCCAAAGTGCCTCGACACTAATTTCTCTTTCTATATTTATACAGTCACTCTATCTTAGTTTTGTACATCAGACACATGTACCGAGTCTCTATGTTCCGAGGCACAGTACATAACTGTTAAAAATAATTTATATTGCTAAAGTGTTTATCTGTTTGTTTACTTTAAGCGTTGGCACCCACGGTGCCAGACCAATGGGAGGAGTAGGGATCTGGTGCACCCCACGCAGCAGCCAATAAACGGGGAGGGAGCTCAGAGAAGTAGCCAATGACAAAAGTTCTTTTTTTTCGTGGGCGGGGACTAGCATGTTACACAAAGTTTATGAAAAATATTTTTATAAAAAATGGACACGACCTGAAAGCAGTTAAAAAACAACTCCGCAGTTTCCTGTGAGGTGAATCATGTTGTCTACTTCACCGGCGGTTTAGGAAGCCATGTTGCCTTGAGAGTACCAGGAGCGGAGGACCAGGCGGGGGCGTAATATGAGCCACCTCACAGCTTACGCCTGAGTAGCACCATGAAAAAGTGAGTCGGTTATGCTGAATGATTTGGGCTAGAGTTACACTTCAGATTCCTGGCTCGGGGACGCCTGTCGTAAATCACATTGGCCGGGTGTTGGCTCTTCACCCTGGTGTGGGACCACGCTACCCACTTACTCCTATAGTAATTGACGATAACCGACGCTAAGTTATTTGTTCGTCAACTTGAGTGAAGCTCTATGGTCAGTATAGTCACTCAGTAATCCTGCACTGAGTCATTAATGATTTTATGAGCAGAAATTTTTTTTTATATATATCATCCATTTTGCTGTTTAAAACAATATTAAGACGCAACGCTTGGAAAATCAGTAAAAAATCGAATAAAACATTATGAAACATTTAACTTTCTAATAACTCAAAAAATTTTAAGGGCCAAATGTGGTGACTCATACAGCAATAAACAAGATGCTGTACTCAGTAGACGTGTGTGTGTGTGTGTGTGTGTGTTAGCCTGTAACCCGACACACGAGGCAGCTTCTTGAAGGCATCGCTGGTGGACAAGATGTCATTCACATCTGTGGCATCATTGCTTCGAATCTCTCACCGAACAGCTGATAGTTTGCCGTTTTGTGTGTGTGTGTGTGTGTGTGTGTGTGTGTGTGTGTGTGTGTGTGTGTGTGTCTGCGTGTGTGTGTCTGCGTGCGTGTATACATGTATGTGTGTATGTATGTGTACAGTATGTATCTATTGTGTTTATCTATTGTGCGTGCATAGAGACGTATATTTTATCACCTTTGTTCTTATGACCGGGACAACACACGGACGGACGGTACAGTATAGATTATGTACACAAATCAACTATACCATTACACCCACAAGACCTATATGATCATAGTGTTATAAGGAAGTAGAAGTGAATCGTCTAGACGGGGTATATAACTGGAGTGGATGGAAGAAAATATAGAGAGCCGAACGTAGGCAAGAGAGAGAGAGAGACACCGTCACTTGGGTGTTTACCAGGTGGACTTTGACGTGAGTTTTGTGTATGTGGTGATCTGGGATTAACCTAACCTAACCTAACCTAACCTAACCTAAGATCGCGAAATTAAGGTGATTAAGTGTAAATAGGTTAAGGTTAGTTAGAGGTCAGGTTGTTAAGTGTCCACTGTCTGATTTCATGGATAATTATACAAATTATATGTAACCAAGTCTCTGGCAAAAATTGAGAACCAGGTATTGAAATATAATCACAGCTTCAAATATTATGATACTAAAGATTATTAATAACTTGTTGGTGTCTGTTAGAACAGGTAGTGTCATCCACCTTGTTGCTGTCTCACGAGGGAAGATTTTGTCACAAAACTCATTCATATTGAAGGTTTACAGCCACTGACGTATATTTTCTGATTAAAGTAATGGTTGTACCGTGGGATGGTCTCAGTAAATATGCATAGGAATACAATAACACATAAGATGGTCCTCTAGACACCACCATTACACACAGCTTGGCGTTTGACGATGATGCACGATCTATTTTTCGCTGATGAACAAAATGCGTTTTCTTGACGTTGATCCGTCCTGTCTGAACAAATGATCAACAAATATATTGGTGTCTGTCATGCTGCTGTCAGGCAATGCGTTAGGATCAATATATTTACTGAGTTAGAGGCTGAAGGCGTCACTGCGGCTTTATAAAATTTACCATATTTACCAGACGACCAGCCACTAGAGGCGACCATCCCGAGGGTAGGAGAGTCAGTCACTAGAGGCGACCATCCCGAGAGTAGGAGAGTCAGTGGCCTCTGTAGGATCCCTAAAGTTTTGTCTTAGGTTCTTTTGAAAGTCCAGAAAAATATATTTGGAGATGCGGGGTATCGATCCCCGTGTTCATTGGAAGTTTTTGCCCCAAATTGTAAACCATTATTCTATACTTCGTGTTAACCGGTGTGTGTGTGGCGCGGGGGGACACTCCTGGAGGTGGCCGGTTCCTGACCACTCCAGTTACGTGTTGGGGGTGGAAGAGGTAGAGGAGGAATAGGGGGAGAGAAAGAAAATTAGGGCAAAGGAAGAAGAGAAAGAGTAATAATGAAAGAGGAGGAGGAGAATGACTTGATGAATGATTGGGTTATGAGGAAGAGGAGGAGGAGGAAGACGATTAATGAGAAAATGAGGTAAAGTGAGGGAGAGACATATGGACAAAGTAGAGAGAGAGAGAGAGAGAGAGAGATGGGGGGGAAGGTAGGGGGGTAGGGAAAGGTAGGGGGGGGCATGTGGAGAGAGGGGGTTGGATCACATGTTAAGGAAGGAAGGTGGCTGGTGGAGAGAGAAGTGTGTTGAGGAAGAAATTAACGGAGAGGAGTGAGGAGAGATTGTATGGGGAGGGGGAGTTTGTGGAGTGAGTGGAAACAGGTGAATAAATGGAGTGAAATGCGTGAAATATAGAGGAGGAGGAAGGGGGATGAAGGATGAGAGGTGAGGACTATCACGGCACTAAGACGGAGTTCATAGGTGGGGAGGGTAGGGTGGGATAAAGGAGGTAGGAGTGGGGAGGAAGGGGCTGTGCGTGGAGAGAAGGAGAGAGAGGGATACTGAGAGGAGGAACGGGGAAAGAAAGTGTTGGAGAAGAGAGGGGAGTGTGGGAGGGGACGACGGGAAGGAGGGAGAGAGGGAGGGAGGTATGAAGGAAGAAAGGAAGGGATGGACGACACTAGGACATGTGTGGTTGTGGACATGGTGAGAGTTAAGACACGTGTCCTGCAAATTTTCACGGCCTCACACTCCCATACCTGGCTGAGTCTTGTATATCGCTCCCTTCCTTTAAATCATCTTTAAAAAAATCTCTATTGTCTAAGTATTAATATTTCTTGTAACACTTACTATATTTACAGTACCTGCGTTTATTGTACCACCAAATCCGTTTTATCGGAAATTATCTTGTAAATAAATAAGTAAATACCATTGCAATACACATAACTGCCAACTAGTCATAATCCTGAAAGCTCTGTCCTCTTGTTCAACCTTATTACTGCACAACCCAGGTTGTACTGCTCCCCCATTATACTTATGTTTTTAAATTCCCCTCTAATTTATATGTATATGTATATATATATATATATATATATATGTATATGTATGTGTTTGTGTATGTATGTATGTATGTATGTATATATATATATATATATATATATATATATATATATATATATATATATATATATATATATATATGTATGTATGTATGTATATGTATGTGTATATGTATGTACAAATAAATAAATAAATATATAAATAAAAATAATAAATAATAAAATTAATAAATATTGAAGTGATAACCGTAGTAACACTATGAGATGTTCTTATTACTACCATGCTATTGTACTATTCCAGATGATACTAAATGTTTCATAATACTTCCTTGAGATAAATGTATAGTATATATCAGGTGCCTCAAAGAGAGCTCAGGTTCTCGACTGGCTCAGCCATGTTAATATTGTTATTTCTATCCACTCTGTAATTGTATTTTTCTGGCTAAATAAAATGTTTCAGTTCAATTCAGTTCAATTGTATGTCCTCCCTGTACGCACTTCATGTAGGTTACTCCATGTATACGTTCTTCTGTCACACGCACACAATTCCCACCCTCTCTCTCTCTCTCTCTCTCTCTCTCTCTCTCTCTCTCTCTCTCTGGTCTTTACTCCGTTTTCTCGTTTTTGTTAATTTTATGTTTGGCCCCAAAATATCTTAACAGTTAGTCTTATGTAATATATCACAGTTACGACCCTCGTAAACTGGTGGTCATACGCGACGCCGCTCTCTCTTACTCTGGTTTTACTGCCAATAATAATCCTCTTTGGTCTCGCGCTGTGAAAATGTAAATCATCAAAACCATCGCACAGACCAACAATAATTATGGTATTAATGATGATGATAATAATATTAGTGGCCAAAATGGTGATTGGTTGTGTTAGATATGAGTTATTATACTGTTAATTATGTATAGGGAGGTGTGTGTGTGTGTGTGTGTGTGTGTGTGTGTGTGTGTGGTCGGTCTAGAATGATGGTCGTACACTGTCTCCTGTCCCTCCACCTGGGCAAAGTCGGGTAACTCACCTAATAATAATGATATAATATTTATTTTTGAGCCTTTTACTGCAATACTGCATGAAGGGTGACGGTACTCAAGGGATGATGCTGTCTCTTCATATTATATCATTTCTTCTTTCTTCCGTAATAGTAACGCCACAGGTGTAGTGTATCCCTCTTGGTACACCCAGCCACCTTCACCAGCACCTCCATCTGATCACCATGTACATACACCACATCGTCCAGGAGGGCCATCCACCGTGCCCTTTACCCTATCCTGGAATATACTTGGTGCTTCTCTTTCTTCTCCTAACCTAACCTAACCTAACCTAACCTACCACATAACGGTAATGGAGGAGGATACTGTTTTAAGTTGGTTCTCGAACATCACCACTTGCCAACCTGCA